TACAGCTTGCCCAAACAAACTGTAGATTGACTCGAAGGTGCTTTGCTTATCTGAAGCTTGCCTTTTGTTGTCATAGTTCGACCTTTGTTCAAACGGAACCCTGGTCTGAGTCACGCTCGTCACGTATCGCCCAGTTATCAGCAGTCTGTTGCTCAAACGGAGCTATAGTCTGTTGAATCAAGCTAGTCAAGTCACGCCAAGTCACGTATAAGCTAGTCAATCCACGTATAAGCCAGTCAATCCACGTATAAGCCAGTCAAGTCCCGTATAAGCCAGTCACGTCAAGCACACACCAGTCAAGCATCCAAGTCACCCACACTCATAAAAGTCAACGTTAAGCCTTCAAAGTTGTTGAAATTGGTGGTTTAGTTGTTGGTTGTTATCAGTCCTTGAGTGGTCATTAGTCAATCACCTTCTTCCCTCAAACCGAACAACCGTGATAGCCTGATACTGTTGACGTATCCGGTGAACCGCGGCAGAACACTTTCTGACCTGACATCAGTGGAGCCCACTGCGAGGGGGGGGGAAATATTGATTAGTCACCACGGCATTCAACACAAGCATCTATCCACCGGTAGGATCTTTATCCTTTCCAACTTCGCTCTACACTCCAGCTATTATGGCAACAACTGGTGTAGCAGCATTACCTATAGCCGGTACAAAGTCAGCCCCGAAGAAGTTTACAGGTAAGTACACAGAAGTCAAGCAGTTCCTTCAGCACTACGAAAGGCTGTGCACGAAGCTCAGCATCACCCATGCCAATGAAATGATTGAGAATATTACCCAATACTGTTCAAGAAAAACTCGCCAGTTTATTGAAAGTCTACCTTCATACAATGCTATACTTCCTGACTGGAATGTATTCAAAAGCAATGTATTGAAGTACTTCGATGCGGATCGCGACGATAAGCGCTACAAAGTCAAGAACCTTGAAACTTACGTCAAAGACTCACGATCCAAATCAAGCGTGAAAAGTCTTGGAGCATGGAGAGAATATACTCGAGGGTTCCTCACTATTTCAGGATGGTTGAGAAGAAACCAGCGGATCACTACAGATGAGGAAGCCCTTTATTTCTGGAAAGGAATCCCTCGTTTGTTTCGCCAGCTTCTTGAACCCCGACTACTCACTGCTCAGCCAAACCATGACCTTTCCAAGCCATTTGTTATGTCAGATGTCAATTCAAAAGCAGAAGCTCTCCTACAGCGAAATCGGTTTGATACCGACCGTCTTCCATCAGATGATGAAGACTCAGATGATGAATCCAGTGCTTCAGAATCGGATTCGGACTCCAATGATAGCAGTGATAGTGAATCGGAACATGATAAGAAGAAGAGAAAGCAGAAAGCTGCTAAACATAAGGTAAGAACCAAGAAAAGGCTTGTGGTCAAATCAGAAGATTCAGACAATGAGGAAGATATCAAGAAAGCACAAGCAACTCGTAAGAAGGCCACAAAGGAAATGAAAAAGAAGGCCAATGAAGTGGACGATCTAGTTAGGCAGCTCAATCGCATGTCACTTGAGGACCCAGACTATGGTGTCACCTACTTGCGTGCATGTAGGCTAGACCCACTGGTGGCTTCTGTAGTTCGCAAGCCACTCATTGAGTCCACTCCTCCAATGACCCGTCCCTCAGCGCCCATGACATCTGCTCTGCGAGGAAATGCGCAAACAGGAACCTCTCGGGCAGAAATGAAGTGCTATGGATGTGGTAAACTGGGACATGGACTATCAAGCTGTCCAGATATTCTTGGTCTCATAGACCAAGGAATCATCATTCGGGATGGTATAACGGGTCGCTTAACCATGAAAGATGGGTCCAGAATATTCAGGGGCATGGATGAGCCATTCACGACAGCAATCGAACATCAAGTTGGCCCTCAATCACACTTCATAACTGCTGCTGAAGCTCCTTTTTGTGCTAAAGTGGAGGAAGCAGCCTCCGAAGAGTCGGACGGTGATGGTGACGATGAAGATGAAGATGAAGACTCTAACACTGAAGCAGTATATGTCATGCCAGTAAAACCTACGGAAAAGATAATCCGTACTGCATGGAAGCAAGCAGCACAAGGTCCAGTTGTTCCTCCTGTTAGAATCCAGGAGAAGGTTGACCGTGCAAAGGGAGACAAACAGAAGGACAAACCTCCCCATATGAATGAATCTGTTGAGCGTCGTTTAGCTCGCATTCAGGGTCAGCCTGCTCCAGCCATTTCAGATCCAAAACCGGACCGTGAAGTCCGACCAGTGCAGCCACATACAACCAGGGACTCTCATGAAAGGGTCTGGGAACATCAACAACCAGTTGATACCTCTCAGAGGAACTTTGATCCAGCTAATGATGATGAAATCATGGAAGATGACTTTGAACCTATCACGCAAAAGCAAAAATTGGCGAAGGATGCAAAGAAAGGAAACAAGACAGATGCAACTCCAGGAAAGGAGGATGGAACCAAACGGGTTCCTAAAAAGAGTGATGTGCAAGCTCAAGTCGACCAAATGAAGATTCTCGGCAAGGTGCTTAGTACTCCTGTGACACTAGCAGTCGGGGAAGTATTCGGGATCTCAAAAGAAATGTCACAACACTTGCAGAATGTCTTGAAGCCGAAATCTCCAGTTGTGAACATTGTTGCATCTTCATTCAGTACAAAGACCCGTGGGCTACTCATTCGCCTTCGGATTGAGATTGACGGAAGACCCATCATAGCCATTGTTGACACTGGATCACAGCTGAATATTGCTCACAAGCGTATTTGGAAAACTATGCTTAATCGTCCAATGGACATAGCCCGCTCAGTCAATATGAATGATGCCAATGGAGGAGCCGGGATACTTCAAGGGCTAGTCGAGAATGTTCCTCTTACTTGTGGGGGAGTTCTCACCCATGCAAACTTGTACATTGGAGATAAAGTTCCTTTTGATTTGCTCCTCGGACGTCCATGGCAGCGAGGGAATTACATCTCCATTGATGAACGAAGTGATGGAACATACCTTCTCTTTAAAGATAAAGATCTCGAAGTAAGACATGAGATCCTGGTCACTCCAGATGGACTTGATCCGAACTGGTCATTCGACCCAGCGGTATGGCATAGCATTCAGAACAGCACACAGAAAGGTCTTCTTGGCCAGAAGGATACAAGGGTGCTGTATTGTGGGGACTTCCGAGAGGACTACATCTACAACAGTGCCTATGAAAAGTTCTGGCAGAGACTAGGTGCCGATCTCGACGAAATGGAACAGCAAGAGCAAGAAGAACAAACGACTTCACGAGAATCGATTCAACCTGCTAATGATTATACTGTATATCAAGTACAGCAGCAACCGACGCCAACATTACTATGGGAGGACAAATTGCTCAATGATCGTCTTTATGTGCATGATCACTCCCATCTGAACGAGGAGCCGTTGCTCATATGCGGAATCAAAATTCCCGAAAGCGGTGGAGATCAGATCGCATCCCCAAACTCAGAATCTGCAACTTACGAAGAACCGCTTCAGCAATTGGAGATACAGAAGCAGAAGCGCAAAGTCGACAATATATTAAGGATTCAAGATGTCGCTGACTTATGAAAGAAACACGTAGCAGTGTCAGAGCACGCAGTACGGGAATACATAGGCCAACTGAACTACAAGCGCGGATATGCAAATATTAATCTACCGGATGCTGACGCCATACTGCAGAACCTCGAGGCTAACAACTGGTGTGCTCCAGGCCTAGTAGGAACAGCTTTCCCAGAGACACTGGATGGAGGCGTGCCAGAGGATCAGTATGAGATGTTCAGAAGTAACAAAGAACACACACCTGTTAGAACAAATGAAAAGTGCACGCACCAGGTAGTACGACCGTTGGGTCTCGCGCCTGTGTGCTGTGGTCAAGAGAAGCAGGTAGTGTCCTGCCTGAGAACGCCTGCCGAGGGAGCACGCGATCCAAACGCACAGCTTGAGGAAAGTGACAGGGGTGTTCTGGGCATAGGAAATGAGGAGTACCTGACGCTCGCATCAAGATCGGGCTACGAACCAGTATCATCAGACTCAAATGAGGTCGACGAAGATGCATGGCAGCATACCAATGTACAAGCCGCGCGCCCAGGAAATGCAGGGGAATTGCGAAGAAATGGTGATCAGTACGAGCCGATCAGTCAGGAAGACAAAAGCGTACCTTTTATAGTGAGCAAGGAGCTCATGCAATTGGAAGCACGACTGTTTGCTCTTGCACCTGTACACCGTAGCCAGAAGGGAGCGACGTGGATCGGTCGGGAAGAGTGTTACACCCCGGAGAGCGAGCGATTGATAGCAGCGCCCCCAGGGATGTTGAGTCCATTGCTTCGCAAGGATGGCTCTGTGAAACAATTAGCCAGCACGCAGGCCGAGAATGAAGGAGATGCAGAGAACCTACCTGGTGATCCATCCCGAGAACGAACGCCAGCAAGAGCCAACCGCTGGCCTTGGTGCGCATGTCCTGGGAGCGTCAAGACGCTGTCATGCACAACACATTGCAGCGACACGCCGCAGCCTGTACGCGCAAGCTCTGCGTCATGCGCCGAGTCGAATAATGCCCAGACGCAGACGCAGACACGTCAGCTCTTCAGAAATGAGATAGGAAGTTACTTACCAAAGTTTTCCCTAATGCTAAGACCGCAGCGCGCAGCGCGCACGCCGCCGCTGGCCCAGATCAAAACCGCTAACAAAGAATTAAAGAGGTTAGTCATGCAGAGAGGTCGAAACTCACCAGACCCACAGCTAGTCAAACAAAGGATGGTGAACTGGTTAGCTCACCAGCGCACAGGAAATTTGGAGCATGCCGCTGCATGCAGTTTGACATGTCACCGAGATTCGCCAGAGGTCGGGAATGTTGGACATCGGGAACCAATCGAAGGTATTGCCCAGGAGGAGAGCCGAGGTCGAGACCAGCCAAGGAAAGAAGCAAGGGTCGGGACGAAAGAGAAAGGAGAGGGACGCGCACGCAAACGAGACAGGAGCGCGAACGTAGTGGCTGAACGTAAGGTTCGAAGACGAGAAGCGCCAATCAGGGTAGTGCACTCGATCGAGATTTGTTCCGAAGATCTGGATACCCCAGACTTCGCGCTTCGCGCACTTCCTGACCTTCGACAGGCTTCCGTGCCTCTTGCGTCATCAAGCCGCCTCAGCCGCATGCTCTCGCTGCAAGTAAGCAGTCCGGAGCATCCCTACCACGACAGCCATGACGCACGCCGAGCCCCCCAACAGGAGAACGCGCGGACAAGACACAACAGCGCATCACGACAGGACGCGTACCCCGCTGAGTGTCAGAACGCTGACGCGCGATCCCGTATGCTAACCACACCTCCAGAGATATTTAAAACACTACCTACGGGACTCAAATCTCCTAGTGTCAAGCCAGCCATGCCAGTCCTCCATCAGTCCACTCCGTATCCATCAGCTATGCCACCGACCCAATGTTATCGACTTACGAGCGGTGCTGTGGGCACCGTGCGCTTTGTCCCGCCCACAGGTCCGCCGCCGCCTACAATGCGCCAGTCGACGGGGATTCAAGGCGACCAGCTCGTTCTGCTGGGGCACCATGACCTCAACGTCCACGGACCCGCGAACCTGGGGCGTCTTGCCCTGGGCGGGAACTTCACAGTCCGGTGCGCACCTCAACAGACGCATCTCGGAACGCAGCAGACATTCGTCGTCCTCGGCTGCGTTGTCTGGTACACGGAGCCCGGGGAATCAGAGGCATGTCCGTATTTTGGCGATGCCGTGATAACCTTTACATTCAGGGGGCCCACTGAGACCATTGTCCCCTTCGTCCACGCATACGAACCGCCGCCGCCTCCTCCTCCTAGCGCCGCTATTCAGACAATGTCCACGACACGCAACGAGCGTCCAATCCTGCCGCTCCCTCGTCGCGCCCCGGTACCGCAGGAAAGGGCCCAACAGGAGTGCGCCAGCCATGACATAGCCGACGTCTGGCTCGTCGAGAATGCGGCCATCCTCGGCAACATATTGGCGGCTTCCCCATCCGACATCCCAGCCATGCTCAATGCACGCCCACTCGTCCCGCCGCCGTTGTCCTCCTCCGGCCTGCCCAGTCCCTCCACTCCATTGCTTCCCGTGACCACCCCGGACGGTTGCGACATCGAAAACTTGAAGATCCCGGGGCTCTTGTACCCCCAGGACAGCACAGACGCTGACGTCCGTGCCGTCAGTCCCTTAAAGACCAACGGGCTGCGCGCCGAACCCGTGCAAGACGAGGACGAAGACATGCCGTCCCTGGTCGATTGGGAGGCGGATGCCAGTGACAAGACTTCGGACGTCGAAATCCTGGACAATGACATGTCAGCCAGCGACACCGATGAAGAATGCAAGCCAGCGCACGTAGTAATCGAGCGCGCTACTCCGGAGCCAACGACGCTGGACCGTCTGGAGGTCCTGGACTTCGTCCTGGACAACATCGTCCCGCAGGACTTCTACGATGCACGCGAAGCCCGCCGCGGGATCGCCCGAGAGACCAAGTACGTCCTGCAACGGGCGCACCACGACGGGATCCGTGAGGCACGCCAACATGAGGACGAATGCGAGGGCGGGATCGTTGATCGCGCGCAGAAGCGCAAAGGCTTTGAAGACTTGTTGTCCCCCCGAAAGGGTAACCCGTTCCTCTGGCCGAACGAGCGCGTTTCGCTCGCATATGCTCGCGAGTTCTTCGAGGAGCACGGTACCTGGAACCCGACCAATCAGGACTACGACATGCGTGATATGGTCAGTCTCATCCACCTCCTCCTCTCTTACGATGTAGGTGAGCGCGTCGCGGGAGAACTCCATCAACGGCACGAGATGGGTCAATTCGGGCAGCCGGGGCACTTCCCCCCGACACACGGATCCTTTCCAGCCTAAACAAGCAATGGCTTCGCTTCCACACACTCGGTATGTGCCTGAACACCCTGCGGACTCGATTCTGAACTTCGGCTCGACATTGCAGCAAATGCGGCCTCGTTGTCTACCCATTTCTGACCCTTTCAAGTGTATCTACATGTACGGCTCGACGTCTACTAGTGCGCGGCCTCCTTCGTTACCTTCTGAATGTTCCATAGGCCCCCATATATGTGTAGACTCGACGTCTTTGAGAGCGCAGTCAGGCACTGATCTTGTAGCTTCGATTACGGACTCTATAAGCTTGCACACCTTGTACTATACTGCGATGTTTGTGTACGATCACCTACGAAAAACATTAGACGAAAACCCAAGTCCCTGGTGTGATTGGTTGCTCAACACCTTTGTAAAGGACTTCCTCGCAATGCAGGCTAAAAGGCGAACAACTTCGGCCTTATATTGGAGTCCATCGGAACCTTCTGAGATGCAGAGAGTGAACACACTTCGTCCCTCGATGTCAGACTTTGAAGATTTCGGATACCTTGAAAAAGCGGCCAACTTAGCCATGGATAGCACACCTATGTGCTGTCTTATAGAGCTTGAAAATGGCGAGACTTCGGAGGACGTGAATGCACCGCTACCATGGTTTTTCTCCTCCGAACTCGAAGAAGATGACGAGGAGATATATGCCTTCACTGACTTCAATGTTCTTGGGGTCTACAAGCGTGTAGATCGACGTATCAAACCAGTTCCTGGTGTATTTCCTGAAGATGCACGAGTGGAACGTCGATTCCCAGAAGACCCACTGTTATCATTACCAGAACTGTCACCTCACCCGCCTGACTTTGTATCCGGAGAGAGACTTACCCGAGACCGTCTAACAGAAATGAACATCAATCCGGATGGCTTTCTATGGCCTGAAGAAGAGAAGCTATTCATGCATATCCTCTTACTTAATGAATCATCACTAGCGTTTGAAGAAAGCCAACGTGGGACATTTCGGGAAGATTACTTCACACCATACATCATTCCGGTGATTCCACATGAGCCATGGGAATTCAAAAACATTCCCATCCCACCGGGTATCAAAGACAAAGTTGTGAAACTACTGAAGGAGAAGATTGATGCTGGAGTATATGAACCGAGTCAGTCCTCATATCGATCACGCTGGTTTTGTGTGACGAAGAAAAATGGGAAAGTGAGGATCGTGCATGACCTACAGCCACTCAACCGTGTGTCTATTCGAGATGCAGGACTACCACCTAAGCTTGATGATTTTGTGGAACCATTTGCTGGGCGGAAATGCTATACGGTATTCGACTTATTCTGGGGATTTGACGCACGCAAAGTTCATCCACTGAGCCGAGACATGACCTCATTTCAAAGTCCATTGGGCTTACTTCGAATAACCTCTCTACCAATGGGATTTACCAACTCTCCTGCAGAATTTCAGAAGTGCATGGTGTTTATTCTGCAGCATGAAATCCCAATGTATGCGAATATTTTTATTGATGATCTACCCATCAAGGGTGCAATATCCGACTACCCAGACCATGATGGAAACCCAGAAGTCATGTCAGTCAATCCGGGAATTCGGCGGTTCATATGGGAGCATGCCAATGATGTCCACCGTATTATGCATCGTGTTGGTCATGCAGGTGGCACCTTTGCTCCAAACAAAGCTCAAGTTGCTCGTCAAACTGCACTTATCATAGGACAAAAATGCACACCAGAAGGTCGGCTTCCTGAACCAAACAAAATTGAGAAAATTATAAATTGGCCGCCTTTAAAGACAATTCGTGATGTTCGGGCATTTATGGGGCTATGTGGAACAGTCCGAATATGGATTCACAACTACTCCAAGATGGCAAGACCACTCACAGAATTAACCCGACATGACACAGAATTCATTTGGGATGAGCGCAGAAATGAGGCTTTCAATGCATTAAAAATTGCAGTAACGTCAGCACCAGCACTACGGCCAATAGACTACGAATCAATGAACCCAGTAGTTCTTTCAGTTGACTCAAGCAAATATGCAGCAGGATTCATTCTATCACAATATGATGATGAAAAACGCAAAAGGCCTGCTCGTTACGGTTCCATTCCAATGAGTGAACGTGAATCCAGATACTCACAACCAAAGCTGGAGCTGTATGGATTGTATCGAGCACTTCGAGCATACCGCCTATACCTCATTGGTGTGAAAAATCTCCAAGTGGAAGTAGATGCAAAATATATCAAAGGAATGCTCAATGAACCTGACCTTCAACCAAATGCTACTATCAACCGATGGATACAAGGCGTATTGCTATTCCATTTCACCTTAATTCACGTACCTGCAGAATGACACAAAGGTCCAGATGCACTGTCCCGCAGAGAACTAGGAGAGGATGAAGAAATAGAGGAAGATGATGACAGCTGGTTGGACAACATTGCACTGTATACGGAAGTCCAGGAAAGACACCACAACCTGTTGTACAAGGAAGTTAGCTCATACTGGGTTGGCTTGCTTGAACAAGGGGCACATGTCATGATTTCCACAAGCTCCAAGCAGGATACAGCCTTACACCAGTACATGCACTTTCTCAGAACTCTGGAAACTCCAGTGTTTACTTCAAGTCAAGAAAAACGGAGATTTATTCGTAAAGCCAGTCGTTTTCTAGTACGAGGGAACAAAATGTACTGACGCAATGGCCAGTTGCCTCCACTCAGAGTGATGCTAGATGCACCAGCCCGACTTAGGATTCTGGTCCAAGCCCATGAAGGATTAGGACATCGAGGGGAGTATGCAGTCATGCAAACTATCAAGGAGCGGTTTTACTGGCCTCACATGTGGAATGATGTTCATCAACACGTCAAATCTTGTCATGAGTGTCAAATACGCAGCACACATAAAGTGGAAGTGCCAATTACCATCTCTGCTCCAGCAACTATCTTTTCCAAAATATACTTGGATATCATGGAAATGCCCAAAGCGAAAGGGTTCAAATACATTATTGCGGCACGTGATGATCTGTCATGGGCAAGCGAAGGACGTGCACTGCATAAGAAAACTGCCAAGCTTGTGGCTGCCTTTTTCTTTGAGCAGATCCTGTGCCGATATGGTGCAGTCGGAGAAGTTGTCACGGATAATGGTGGAGAATTCAAGAAAGCATTCCAGGAACTCATGAGGCGGTATCATCTTCCTCAAATACGCATTTCCAGCTACAATTCCAAAGCCAATGGTGTAGTTGAACGGGGACATTTCATACTTCGTGAATCCATTATCAAAGCATGTCAAGGCAAATGGGAGAAGTGGCCTAACCAAGTCCATCATGCATTTTTCACAGATCGGATTACTGTCAGTCATGCAACGGGATATTATCCCTACTATCTTCTCTATGGTGTACACCCAGTACTACCATTTGATTTACTGGAAACCTCATTCATGATTGAAAACTTCCGGGCCGGAATGTCCACAAGTGACTTGCTTGCATTACGCATTCGCCAGCTACAGAAAAAGCCAGAAGATATAACACGTGCAGCAGAAGTCCTGAAAAGGTCACGTCTGTCGCGCCTTGAGGTCGAGCGACAGAGGAAAACCTGAAAGCTGGGGGCGTTCGACTGGTTCTTACCGAAGCGATGGTGAGCAACGCTCAAACCTAAGGCTAGGGACAAGAATGTATTAGTTAGTAAGTAAAAGAAGTAAGTACAGGAGAGCTTACTGACCTAGGGACAAGAGGTCGAAACTGAGGTCCCTAGGGCAGCAGAGGCTGGTTTATATACATGGGAAGATTTAGGGCAGGCTGTGCGCGTTGGTCCGTGCGCAGCTGGTCTGTGCGCAGCATGCCGACGCGGCCCCGGGGGCCGGTGAGTCAGAACGGCTGCGTCAGCGGGGCCCGAGCTGTGCCGTGCACTGCCGTCCTATCTAATCTAATCGTACAGTAGATAACGACGTGTCCATATCAGGCAGGTAGTACAGAGGTTGCGGGTTCGAGCCCGCGAAAAGGAAAAAATTAAAAAACGGCTAGGCGCCGTACCAACTCGTGACATTACCCCCCCCTCAACGGCGCATGACCTCATGCGAGGCACCCTTGCCCATCTCCCATCCGGAGCGGCAACATGCTTCAGTCAGCAGCGAAGGCATTGGCTGAAAGTTGAGACCACCAAATGTAGCAGCGTTGAGTCGACGAGGGGCATTCGGATTCTTCCGGTGGAAATCGGCTACGAGGGCCGGCGCATTGGCAACGTTGCGCGCCGGTTCCCATGACGTATGCGAGTCGTCATAACCCTTCCACTTGATGAGGTACTGTAGCTGATGCCGGAAGATCCTCGAATCCTTGATTCGCTCAACCTCGTACTCCTCGTCGCC